TGCCTAGTGGACTTGATTTAAATTTAGAGGATTGTTATTATGTACCTAGTTTGACTAAGAACATTATTTCTATTTCCTGTTTGGACAAGATTGGCTTTGAGATTATTATTAAGAATAATTGTTGTTCTTTTTATCTCGATAGTTTTTTTTATGGTTCGGCACAATTGGTTAATGGTCTCTATATTTTGGATCAAGATAACACCATTTATAACATAAATACTAAGAGATCAAAAACAAATGACTCGAATCAAACTTATCTTTGGCATTGTCGTTTAGGCCATATAAGTGAGAGACGCATATCAAAACTCCATAAAGATGGATTCTTAGATTCATTTGTTTTCGAACAATATGATGTATGCAAATCTTGCCTGTTGGGAAAAATGACTAAAGCTCCTTTTAATAGTAAAGGTAAGCGAGCAAGTGATTTATTGGGGTTAATACATAGTGATGTATGTGGACCAATGAATACACAAGCCAGAGGTGGATTCCATTACTTCATTACTTTTACCGATGACTTCAGTCGATATGGGTATATTTATCTTATGCGCCATAAATCTGAAGCCCTTGAAAAGTTTAAGGAATTTAAAAATGAAGTACAAAATCAACTAGGAAAGAGTATTAAGGCACTCCGATCAGATCGAGGTGGAGAATACTTAAGCATAGAGTTTGATGAACTCCTAAAAGAATGTGGGATTGTCTCACAGCTTACACCACCTGGTACGCCACAGTGGAATGGAGTTTCTGAAAGAAGAAATCGAACACTGTTAGACATGCTTCGATCGATGATGAGTCATAGTGATCTTCCAACTTCTTTTTGGGGACATGCACTTGAAACAGCCGCTTTCACACTAAATCATGTTCCATCTAAATCGGTTCAAAAGACACCATATGAGATATGGACTAGGAAACGTCCCAGTATGTCTTTTATCAAGATTTGGGGTTGTGAAGCTTATGTAAAACATCATATGTCTACAAAGCTCGAACCTAAATCTCATAAGTGTATATTTGTTGGATATCCTAAAGAAACTAAGGGATACTATTTCTTCAACCCTAACGAGAACAAAGTGTTTATTGCTCGAACAAGAGTTTTTCTCGAAAGAGAATTTCTCTCAAAGAAAGGGAATGGTAGAAATATTGAACTTGGAGAAGTTCAAGAACAGCAAATAAATAAACCTGAAGTTGAGCATGTTTCACAAGTTGTTGAGGAGCATTCAACAGATTTAGAAATACAATCACTGCGTAGATCCACAAGAGAACATCGTGCACCTAAGAGATTTGGATTTCTCCTTATGACACATGGAGATGTTCTTCTTATGGATCAAGATGAGCCCAGGACTTATCAAAAGGCATTGTCTAGCCCATACTCTGAGAAATGGCTTGAAGCCATGAGATCTGAGATGGATTCTATGTCAGTAAACCAAGTATGGACATTGGTTGAACCACCTGAAGGGGTCAAACCTATTGGGTGTAAATGGGTTTTCAAGAAGAAAACTGACATAGAAGGTAATGTACAAACATACAAGGGGCGATTAGTCAATAATGGTTTTTTACAAGTTCATGGTGTAGACTATGACGAAACATTCTCCCCTGTAGCTATGTTTAAGTCCATCCGGATCCTGCTCGCAATAGTTGCATTCCATGATTATGAAATCTGGCAAATGGACGTCAAAATCGCCTTCCTTAATGGAAAACTTGAAGAGGATGTGTATATGACACAACCAGAAGGTTTTGTCTTTCCAGGAAATACTGGAAAGGTTTGTATACAGAGGTCTATTTATAGACTAAAGCAAGCTTCTCTAAGCTGGAATCTTTGTTTCAATGATGCAATCAAAGAGTTTGGTTTTATCATATATGAAGATGAGCCTTGTGTTTATAAGAAGGCTAGTGGGAGCATTATTTCTTTCCTAATCTTGTATGTAGACGACATACTCATCATAGGACATTCTGTTAAGACTTGGTTAAGTTGTTGTTTTTCTATGAAAGATTTGGGTGAGGCAGCGTATATCTTAGGAGTTAAGATCTATAGAGATAGATCAAGACAACTTCTAGGTCTAAGTCAAAGTACATATATAGACAAAGTGCTGAAAAGGTTCAGTATGGAAGAATCCAATAAAGGATTTTTGCCTATGAGACATGGCATTTCTCTTTCGAAGGAAATGTGTCCTTCAACTCCACTAAAAAGAGAACGGATGAAAAAGATTCCATATGCTTCGGCTATTGGTTCTATCATGTATGCCATGATATGTACTCGACCAGATGTATCGTATGCTTTATGCATGACAAGTCGGTATCAAGTGAACCCTGGTGAAAATCATTGGGTTGCGGTTAAAAATATCCTTAAGTACTTAGGAAGAACTAAGGATAAATTTCTTGTCTATGGAGGAGAGGAAGAGCTTTGTATAAAAGGTTATACTGATGCCAGCTTCCAAACTGACAAGGATGACTCACGACCGCAATCGGGTTTTGTGTTTTGTCTTAATAGAGGTGCTGTGAGCTGGAAAAGTTTGAAGGAAGACACAGTAGCTGATTCTACAACAGAGGCTGAATACATTGCAGCTACTGAAGCATCAAAAGAGGCTGTTTGGATCAAGAAATTTATAATGGAATTAGGGGTTGTTTCCAGCATATCAGATGCTGTAGAACTCTGTTGTGACAATAATGGAGCCATTGCACAAGCAAAGGAACCCAGATCTCTTCAACGATCCAAACATATTCTTAGGCGCTTTCATCTCATTTGAGAGATCATTGATCGAGGAGATGTGGAAATATGTATAGTACACACGGATGACAATATTGATGATCCCTTGACGAAGCCTCATACACAACAGAGGCATGATCGTCACACTGAGTCACTCGGTATTAGATATGTGAGTGATTGGTCTTAGTGTTAGTGGGAGATTGTTAGAGTATGCCCAAAGACCAATCATATGATGGTTGTAATAATACTTTTATTTACCGATTTTATTGAATAAAGGCATTGCCGCTATTATTTTCAGTTATATATATGTGTTTAACATAAACTGGAAGATAATAAAGTCCATATAATGACATAATTGTTATTATTAAAAGATCCCTAGTCAAGTATTATTATAGGCATGGACAATAATAATACGCTCAAGACTAACATGTTATTGATTGATGACAATGAGTTGTCATTGACATAGAGATGTCAGAATTAATACATGATTATATTGTTAGAGAACAATGTATTAGATTGACCCACCATGAGCATATGTCTTGGAGTATTATGTGACAGTCATAACATTACTCATGGTGATGGCTATATGTATGATCCTCATACTTGAGTTCAATACTATCCCAACATATATTGTTGTATGTTTTGATGCAGCTAAACAAGCTTCGTAACTGGTTGCTCTATAAAGACTGTTATTGAATATATCTCAATATATGTAGTGGGTGTGTATGATTAAGATAGGATATGTCCTTCCTACATAATAGGAAACATATCATAGGCCACTTGATTGAGTAAGACTAGAAACACATGGCCATGCTCGAATAAGTTGATATGAGATATCATAAACTATTTGTTAATTAAAGTCTACTCTAGAAATCAAGAAACAATAGATGGGCTATACAAGTGTGACTATTCCAAGACTTGTGCCTATTCTAGATATAAAGGACATAAGGATATAATACATAAAAGAGTTAATCACCAAGATGATATATCGAATCATATTTTCTTGTAACTTAGGTGACAATGATATATTGCTAGATGCCACTCATTGTATGTAATATTAGAATTGTTCTAATAATTACTTATAATGTTACAAGAACTTACAGGGTCACACCCTAAGATTGAAACGAGCAAAAATGTACAATTTGTTGTACGTTACTAAAATATATCTAGAGTTATTAAGTATATATATTTTAATAATCCGGAATATTTAATTTCAATTAATTAAATATAGATTTAATTAATTTGAAATAATAAAATATCTGATATGATTAGGGTAACTCGGATATAAAAGGATTATTAAATTCTAATTAATTAAATACATATTTAATTAATTTGAAATAATAAAAACCCTAATATGACTAGGGTAACTTGGCTATAAAAGGGTGTGTTAGGTCTAGCAGCCGTTTTGGGGAGAACACACACAAAACCTTCAGCCACTTTCTCTCAAAACTCAAAACTGTTTTGGGGGAAAACAAAATTGCTCTCAATCGGGTGAACTGAGTAGAGGTCGAGACGTGATTTCGTAGAGGCTTACGATTCGACCCGATCTACACCACCAGAATTCACTGCATTCCTTGCTGTTTTTCAAGGAACCCACTGTAAGTATTCGCATCTCTTCCTCCCGATTTCAGTTTTTCGTACTTGGATCGCTGGTGAGACCGTCGAGTTTTGTTTCCGCTGCGCCATGGGGTGCGCCGACGGTCCTAACAATGACGTGGTTGTTGCATGGTATGGAGTACACTCTTGAAATTTCAATTTACTGTTAGGATCTTTTATATTTTCTTTGATTTAGTTTGACAATTGTAAGATATTTTCTGCAGGTATACGGTTAATTTAGTGGTATTCTTTATAAACAACAAGCTGTCAGGCTTGAATATTTTGATCTTTTCAAACTTTTGTCTAATTATTCCGTCAATGATTGGGGTTGAGTCTTCTAACCCAGATATTTACTGCAGAATTTAACGACAGAAGCAGTAGAAATTTGCCTATGGTGCTGCCCTTGAGTACCACAGACAAGGATAGTAAAGGCAAAGAAGAAAATTACAAGCCAATCACTAGTCACTAGGGAATAAATAGTGGTTGCAATCACGTTTTCCGTTATGCTGTGTATATCATGATTGCAGACATAACGAGTGCTATTACAGTAATTGCAAGTATCGCGATTATAAAATAGCAGTATTGGGCAGCATCGATACCATTATATCACAAGTGTTATTGTGGTCACAAACCGCTATTTAAATCTCTTATCGTTACATTGAGAAAAAAACTGCTGGAAAACATTGAAACTTGGATTGGTATCGGGGGCATTCAACAAGGAACACCCTTCCAAATATTGGCGTATGCCGCTTAAGATGGAGAGCACAAGGTATTCTTTAGTAAAAGACGAAATAATAATTCGTTCCTGTGCTCACCACACGGCTCAGTGAGTCGGAAGTATGCAAAAAGTTGCTTTACAAACACGAGGAAAAGCTGCTATCTTGCTTTCCAGTGCAATGTGGGATGGTGGGACTTGGCTTTATGGTAATTTGATTTGAATCCTTCCCTCCTTTTAATTTTGATATTCACTAGAAAAAAAAAACAAGGAATCAATTTTAACCATCTATTTTCACTTATCCAACGGTCCTAAATCTGTGTCAACTAAAAGAGTTTTACATTGTATAATAGGATACTCTTATATATATATATAATAGGATAAGTGAAAATAGATGGTTGAGATTAACAGTAGGAAATGAGAAGATATTCACTAGAAAAAAAAACAAGGAATCAATTTCAACCATCTATTTTGAACGATCCTAAATCTGTATAAAAACTAATGAGTTTTATATTGTGTAAGTGGATTCTAACCTTATATATATATATATTTAGTTGATTTTTATAGAAAGTTTAAAGTATAGATATTAAGAGAGGTAAGAACCAATAACAAAAATTATAAATGAAATTCTCAGCAAGACATAGTGAACCTAATGATGTCGAGATATATTTCAAATAAGAATTTGAAAAACAATATTTTAATTTAGGGTAAACTACACTTATCACTAAAATTTGGATAAATTTTTTTATCACTAAAATTTAAAAACTTATAAATAATCATTAATGTTATCATTTTGTAACAAACAATCATTCAATCCTTAACCTTCGTTTCTTTGATTACGGGAAGTTGATTTGACACGTTTGGACTACTGAGATAACAATGTTTGGTCATATCAAACCATAATTAACTAATCATTTACTTTAAAAACATAAAATTAGATATTTAAAAAGAAACTCTGAACCCTAATCCTAATTGGAAGAATTTCTTTTTCTAATGTTGCATCTATTTATTTATATGTAGGCACTTCTTCATTCATCCTACATGACAAATCTTACTTATAATATCGAAGGCCTATTAAAAAAAACAAGGTAAACTATGTAAAAGATTATGGGAAGTTCATTTCTTCCTCTGAAGTTTATGTAAACACTTTTGAATGTAAAAGACAAGAATATCATAATTGTCACTGGTTTGACAACACCTCAAGCAGTTATGTAAAAAGGAGCTAAGGGTGAGATTGGAAAAGGAGGTGACACATGGAGAATAACATTGGATTTCGAATTCAAATGTAACAGTGCAGTTTGGAGAGTTTTGAGGATTGTAAATCCAACAAAGGAGAAAAACCCATGAATGAATAAGATCTATAATTTCTCAATTTGTGTTCCAAGGATCTTTACCATATAATTTCCAGATTGTTTTGATGTTGTTGTGAGATTATTCATGCTGTAACTAAATTGGGAGATGCATTGATTCAAGTTATATTTTTGTAATCAAGTTCAGAATTTCCTTCCTCCAACAAAGATAAAACTAGATAAACAGGAATAAATTCCAAGTTGCAATGATGAGAAGAAAAACTATAATAAGTCATGCTACTCTCCGGATTCTGTTTCATTCAAATTTTTTAATGATATATGAATATTAGAGAATGGCCGAATGAAGCAGATCTATCCATTACACTGTTACATCATATCGTCCAAGGAGTTTCCTAGATCAATTTGAAATCTAGTTCTCCACTCTGAGCAAATCAATCAAAGAACCGAATGCGGGAATTCATATCCTAAAGCTAGTTACAGATATCTGCAATGCTAAAAGTTACTAAAGTATATTTAGCATCAATGTCTTAGACATAAATTCAGACTACGTGTATCATTATCATCAGCACAGATCTTTGTGCTCAAATCAGTATGGTATCAACTTAACAGTATGGTATCAATTTCCAGTATGATATCAAATGTCAGTAGTAAAAGCAAACGCCACCATAAACTGAAGTGACGCCAATTTTAAACAAGTGAAAGCATGAAAGGTATCCACAAAGTCTAGGAATTTAAACAAGTTAGAATACCTAAATAACCATCATATATTATGTAGGAATTCCATAGATCATACTACCCTAAAACATCAAGTACATTCAAAAGTTACATAATATCTCACTTGAAAATAACTCCAAATATAAAGTTATTTTCATATGGGAAGGCCAGTTAGGGTTAAATGGTACAAAATTGTCTTAATATTTCATCAGAGCGCATAAAAGTCCTCAATAAGAAAACTTTAAATTGTTAGATTAAAATTACTACTCCCTTGAACTGGGAAAACATGTTAAAGTGCCCACAAAGTGATGCAAAAGACTCGCAAGGAATGGGCAATATCTGTCATCCGGTGTTGAGTAGCACTTTTTCAGAGTTAACCATTCCAGTCTTATTTCCAAAACTAAATCTGTGGTGAATCGTTACTGCTCAAAGTAGTATCAGGGAGAAAACGACATTTTACTTATAATCTCAAAGAACATCAACCAAACTAGGTAAATCTATTACAAAAGCCTCAGCAATAACGACAAATGAAGGCTATTAGTAGATTAACGATGAAATATATGTAACCAAATCAAAATATGACATCAAGAGTATAATAGGTGTAAACAATATCAGAATTTGCAAATATAAAGAATTTTCTAACTCTTCCGCATGAAAACCAAGTTGCATATGGGAAAGTAATTCTCCGAACTCGAAATGCAAATGAAATCTAAAAGCAATATAAACAAGACAGGAAGGTTATATAATTGGATATCATCAAAGTTGTGGATTAAAAGATACAAGATTACCAGCATCTACTCTACCGATGAATATTAAGCAAGTCCTTGGCTTCACTCTGCTCCTCCATCAACCCTTCACTCGCATACTTACTTAAAAGATCCATCTTCTTCCTTTCAACAACCATCCTCTCAATGTGCCACTTTAAAGAGCAGAAACAGGGAGCCCCATCACAGATATTGTTGTATCTGGCAATTGGAGATTTGTAAAATCCTGTCATACATTCTTAAGCAAAAATGTTTGTTTCAAACAAATCCATCAAGTACAATATGTAATGGGATACCTCTTAAATAGCATATTTAAAGACTTGGGATGACAACTAACGAGAGATAGTTCAAGTAATAAATAATTTGATATCGTTTAAGTAACTTTTTAATTCGAATCTTTATGTATATAAAAAATCTTCGACGGAAGGCTTACTCATCAAAACTAACGTGGATCGATAACAATAGTATTTATAACACCAAGCGATTAATCAATAACCCAATTCGTAATGTTAAAACCGATAAAGGGAGAAAAAACACACCTTCCTCCTCGCCTTCACGTAAGCTTCTGCTTGGCGTTACTATTATTAGCCGCTTCCTTAACCTTCTCAATATATCTTTCGATAGGCGGAGTCAAAGTCGCTATATATCTATTTGCCGGAAATGGGGTCAAATCCGATATCATAGCCACCTCTTTAAGTTTTCCGGCATGGCTTCAATCTCATCCTTTTTTTCATTCTCAACGAATTAGTCTCAACCAAGCCCGTTTATGAGATTTTGGTGACCCTCGGACGAACAAAAAAGTTAGACCTTTAATTAGGAATTTAAATTACAATTTATATTTGTGTCTTTGATATCATTATGTTTATCGTTATTGCATACATAATTGATGATATTGTGGTCACTGCAAGTATTGTGGTTGTGAATTCTTAATAACATATGCTATTGTGAATACAATGATTGTGGATATTGTGGTTTCAAACGATGTCATTATCATTACATAACGGTCGTTATTTTAGTTACATACTATTGTTTAAGTAATTATTCCTAATAACAAGTGTTGGAAAAAAATAAATTTTAAGGGTAGCTCCATATTTATAACTATTGAAAAAATGGGTCCCTAATAACAAATATTAAAGAAAAAGTAAACTTTTAAGCTCATAATAACAAAATATTAAAAAGAATTGGATCTCTAATAAAGTATGGAAAAATTGGACTCTTAATAACAAATAAATATTAGACAAAAAATTGAATTTTCAAAATAAACCCTAATAACAACTATTGAAAACTTAGGCCTCTAATAAAAAGTATTAAAAATTTTGGCTCTTAATAACAAATGTTAGAAAAAAATATTGGCAAAAAATTGGCCCCTTATACAAATATTAGAAAAATAAATAAATTATAAGAGTAGGCATCTAATGATAAATATTAAAAAAATTGAGTCCATAACAATATTGAAGAAAAATTAAACCCTTAATAAAAAAATATTAAAAATAATTGAATCTTATAACTTATATAAAATCATTTTTTAAAAATATAATGCACTATAAAAATTATAGGCCCTGGGCAGGTGCCCCTCCTATACAGGCCCATATATAGGCCTGGTCTCAGCAGCCTAACTTGTCTTATCTTTAAGTGGCACATTAATTTTCATTTTGTTATAAATTGATAACGTTAATGACTAATTTGTAACTTTTGAGAGTTCAGTTGGGAAAACAAAAATTTACTCAAACTTTAGTGACCATTTGTGTGGTTTACCCTAAAATGGGTTATGTATCACATTATATATTAGATAAAATTGTTTTCTTAAATAATTTCCCCAGATAAATTTTATGATATGATGCTAGTTTTTTAATTTTAAAGTCAGATGATGCACGAACCAATTTACCTCAATAGTCAAAGGAATTGTTATCATTCCTAGAGGTCATGTGTCCTATCACCAGTAACTGCAAATGTGATTAAGCGTTTATTATGATATGAAAGTTGAGAGCACTTAGAACATATACTACTTTGTAATCACCTCTAGCTTAATAAAAAAATAATGTCAAATGATAAATCTCAATAAAAAAACAAATATTTATTATAGTTTCATCAAACATGCTTATATCTCACACTAATGCTACTTTATTTTTTCAGGCAAATACAAAATTTTATTTATTCCAAACAGATAATTCTCAATCCTTTGATATTGAACGTTGGTACATTTAGCATTCCTGGCACTCGAACTCGGGACCTCAAAGAATAAAAACAATTCTTTTACTATCGAGGTCACTGGAGTTCGTGCTAAATTATAATGGTGATTTGGGGCTGAAAAACTTTCCTACCACTCCTGAATCTAATATCTTGAAGGCTTCCTTAGATTTAATACAACTAGGTCTCTTGTATTGCCTGAAAGAGGCTCCTTTGGACACATAGTAATCCAATAATGCCTCAAAAGTTCCTTGATTTATAACCCTAATCTCCAAAGGTGCAATTATATTTTCTTGACTATAGATTTTGTATGTATAATGCAATTACTCTTCCATTATAAAGTAACATTCCACCATTATATTTTGGTCAAGCTCTTTGGAATGATTGCCTTCTTTTTGCTTGAGCTCCCAAAATAACACATAGTGACATGGTGCTAAGGAAGTATCAGCATAGCTAGTGTACTTTGTTAACACCAATCCTAGTGGATCGAGAAGGGCCTTTGCTTCTATCACAACCTTTAATTAAGAGGTCTGTTTCGCTTGTTTTTTTCCTGATCTTCACTTATAGCAACATTTTTCCTCTCCATAAATTTAAAAAATTGAGGTGCATTCTTGTGAAAATCAGTCACCATAAGAACATCTCCTACTTTACATCGATATAATCCTGAATGAAAGGAAGGAATATCATCAAACAATATTTTATCATTATCTAACTGGTTATTGTATTAGAAACCAGGATGTATAATACAAAATTAGAGCATGACATGAGATTAAATGGTTTGGCTAACAATCTAAATTCGGAGGAGAAACTTTTACCTATAGAAGTTGTGACAAGTAATTCATAACGATAATCGGGCTTCACATGTACAAGATAACATGCTCAACATCTTCAGTATTGCTTTTATTTTAATAGATTCATCGTGATCATTCTTCGTAGGAAGGAATTCAAAGCAAGCCAAGTTAGGGAGGATTGTGTAAGAGACATATGTAGGTTTTCTTAGAGATTATAAATTAATCCCACACTAAGCTTCAGAGCAAACATATAAAGTTTAAACTAAAGGGAGCCCGCTGCAATACAACTCGAGTTTTGCGGTATAATTTCTCATAACGCCCGTACATATGCAACCAACATACCTTGCTTTAGGCCATAGTTTTCTGATTATTGCTTCCCATGATTTACAATTTCATATGTTTTCTATCAAGTCAGCAAGTTGTGGATTCGGCTTCATGACCAATGATGTTGCATTTCTGCATCCTGAGTCCGTGTTCTGATGTCTTAGTTGACTTGTTTTTATGTCAGAGCACAGCTCTCGCCAGTCTGGATGGGCAAAACGGATTCATACAATCATCTCAAGGTATTTGGGCGTATGCCATTTGTTCATATACCCAAAGATGAGAGAGCCAACCTTGACGCAAAGAACGAATGAATGCATCTACCTTCGTTCACCTAAGGATGAATTCGGTTATTGGCTTTGGGATCCAATCAATAAGAATGTTATCCACAATAGAGACATTGTTTTCTTTGAAGACCAAACAATCGAAGATATCAAAAATTCAGAGAGGCCAAGATTTAGAAGCAACAAGAACACCGAACCTGCTCCAGTTCGACGTGAGTATAATAATACACAAGAATACAATGATGCTGAAGATCATGAACCTATGTTAAAGCAAAGCAACTAGGAGACCCATGATGAACCAGCTCATGAAGAGCCTCAATCTAGCTCTCTAACATCATCTGAGATGAGATGATCATCCAGAGATAAAAGAAAATCCACTCGATATAATACAAATAAGTACGTTATGCTCACTGATGAGGGGGAGCCTCAAAGCTATAAAGAAGCAATTAGTGATAGTCATAAAGAAGAGTAGAGAAGAGCCATGCAAGAACAGATGCAATCCTTGTATGAGAATCATACTTATGAACTTGTGGAGCTACCAAAAAGGAGAAGAGTCTTGAAGAATAAATGGGTGTATCGGATCAAGATCGAAGATAGCAGCTCAAATCCTCGCTATAAAGCTCGGTTGTTCGTCAAAGGATTCAGACAAGAAAAAGGTATAAACTTTAAAGAAATATTCTCTCCCGTAGTAAAGATGTCATCCATCTGAATGGTCATTGGCTTAGCAGCCTGTAAGATTTAGATATTGAACAAATCGATGTCAAGACGACGTACCTACATGGCGATCTAGAGGAATAAATGTACATGGAGCAGTCTAAGGGATTCAAAGTTCTAGGCAAAGAAAATCTAGTGTGTCTGACAAGTTGCCACACTGATATCATAGTAAGCTTTGGAAAAGAGTGATCAAGTGAAGAAAGACCGAATTCTCCACTCTAAAGTCAAAAGAAAATTGAATCTAAATTTTTGCATTCATGAGAACATCATTTGCATTTAGATACATTTAATTTCATTAATCTTTTACACATAAATGCATGATTTTTACAGATCTTATAAGAAAAGAAGAATATTTGTGATTTCAAAATCTCAAGAAGAGAACACTAGGAATCAAACTTCAACTGTAGGAAATCATGTTTAGAGTGACAGAACCTAAAAAACAGAGGAGCCCAATCCATAGAAGATTCATTACTTTAAAGTGGGGCATGTACCCGACCACTAAGTTATTTTTATATATTTGTTGTAAAAAATGAGAAAAGTAATCATCAAAGTTTCTCATTTAATGTTTTTAGAAAATGAATTTTTTTAAAAGTAAGAAAGTGATTTCCAAAGTTTCTTACCAGTAGACTATTTCCCAAATTGATAAGTCCTTCGGGTAATCTTTTAGTCTTTTGAGCGAGATGATAAGTTCTTCGAGCCATCTATAAGACCTTTGGGCAAGGTGCTTTCATATGATGTTTGTGAAAAATGAGACACAAAATTTTCAAAGTTTCTCATTTAATATATTCAGAAAATGAAATTTTGAAAAATAAAAAGGAAATTTTTGAAAAGTAAGAAAACATTTCCAAAGTTTCTTACCAGTAGAAATTTTTGAAATTGGTAAGTTCTTTGGGGGCCATTAGTAAGCCTCTCTAGCATGATGATTAAAACCTTCGGGTCGTCTGTCAGTCTTTTGAGAAAGATGATAAGTCCTTCGGGCCATCTAAAAGACCTATGGGCAAGATGCTTTCATATGATGTTTTTGAAAAATGAGAAAAAGCAATTTTCAAAGTTTCTCATTTAAGATTTTTAGAAAATGAAATTTTTAAGAAGTACGAAAGTAATTTCCAAAGATTCTTACCATTAGATTATTTCCCAAATTGGTAAGTCTTTTGGGCCATCAGTAAGTCTTTCGAGTATGACAATTAAATCATTCGAGTTGTCTGTCAGTCCTTTGAGAAAGATGAAAAGTCTTTCGGGTCATCTATAAGACCTTCGGGCATGGTGTTTTCATAAGGTATTTGTAAGAGAATGACAAAGCAATATTCAAATTTTCTCCTTTAAAATTTTCAAAAAAAAAAATGAAAAAATTAAAAAAAGGAAAAAAGAAGAAAGGAAAAAGGGGAGAGAGAAAA